TCAAATCCAATCAAGACAGATCCTATTATATTGAGTTGTGACATGAAAATCCCAAGATCCTGAAAACTAGAAACAAAATCACAGTAAGCTACAATAGTACAGCAAACCACACAAGCTACTCTAAATTTCCTAATTCTTTTATTAAATATTTTATGAAATATTTAAAAATAGTTAAATGTATTCTAATAAACCAATGTAGTAAGAAATGTAATAAGAGTATAACAGTTATTCAATTATTTAAACAATATTACTCAGCAGATAAATAAATTGTAATTTATATCGTAGAATAGTTCATATCATATTCTTCATATACAAACATAATCTTAAAGGATTCTAGTCCCTTATGAATCCATTTTATACTTATAGTACCAGAACATGCTCATAGGCACTAGAATATGACTTAAAGTTATCAGAACATGCCTTATAGACACTAGAATATTCTCTTACACAAATAGAATCTCAAAAAATTATGGCCCTTATGACTCCCAATAGATATTATTTATTTATATATGCACATTTTAATCATATTATAGTAATTAAAGTATAATTGAGCATGCGTTAGAATTTTATAGTTTTCTCTAATGGTAGACAATAAAAAACCCTACTAGGAAAAATGCATATTTTTAAAAATAATCAAATTATTAAGAATTGTGTAAAATAATATTTTAAGACTTTTTTCATACTAAAACACTATTTTTAATATCCAAATAATTTTCTATTCAATAAAATCTCAGGAATTTCAAAACCTCTAGTAAAATTTCTAAAAAATTCTCAAAATATATATAATCTCAATCTCTGTAACATAGAAAAAATTACGCAATGAAAGTTTTCCCAAATCAAAGTTATTCACATTTTTTAAAATAAGAACACAAATTTAATTAAAAAATTAGTTGTAGATTATATATTTTTAAACATTTAGGCATAGTGTGACTTACCTCGAGACGAATTTAGACCAACAACAACAACAACAACAACATCAAGCCTTTATCCCACTACATGGGGTCGGCTACATGAATCCTTTTCCTCCTTTGTGTTATATTAAAAGTCAATTTCTCGTTTAAATCTAATAAAAAAAGTTCATTCCTAATATTTTCTAACCAAGTCTTGTTAGGTCTGCCTCTACCTTTCTTAACATAAGTCAAATCTAATACCTTTACTCTCCTAACCGGGTCATCGGAAGGCCGCCGTTTTATGTGACCAAACCATCTAAGGCGACTCTCTCTAATCTTATCTTATACTGGAGCTACTCTAACCTTTTCACGTATATGCTCATTTTGTATCCTATCTCTAAGGGTAAAACCACTCATCCACCTGAGCTTCTTCATCTCTGCCACACTTAACTTAGTATTATGCTTCTCTTTTAATGGCCATCATTCAGCACCATAAAGCATTGCATGCTTCACCGCCATCTTATAGAATTTAGACCGATGGAAAAAAATGGCATGAATTCACTCAAAATTGGATTTTTATTTTCTCTCTCCTCTCTTTTCTCTCATTTTTTTCTATTTTTTTCCCTTTTTCATCTCTTACCCGAAATGAGGCATGCTTTTTAAAAAATTTGTTAAGTGGAATAATAAAATAATATTTTATAAAAAAAAGATCAAATAACATATAGATAATTATATTAATTATTGAAATTTAGCCAAAAGTCCTTTTATATCTTCCAAATTGGTTATCCAAAATTACAAAAAAAAAAATCATAAATGAGCTAAGCATGTTTAAAAGACTCTAATAAAAACTGTTTGTAAAACAGACACTTAACAGTCCCAAAATTTATATTTGCACTGATAAGTGCTAATTTCTTTAAACATTTTACCTAAGCCCCAAAATTATGAAAAAATTAGAAAAACTAAAGAAAAGTAATATATATGTTATGTCGAAGACTATTTTTGATTTTGACTTAACACTTGAAATATTTTTTTAATCGTTCTATGTCAAAATGTTCTTAAAAATAATTAAGAGTTTTTCACAAGGCGCATCCCCAAGCCTCATGCTAAGTCAAGCTATACACTCTTGCATGTATCGAGGCTAAAGCAACAATACTGTTGGACCTCATTTAGCCTAAAAAACACGTCTCCTTATAGATTGACAACCATCTATGCTAGAGGATACATAAAAAATACACGAGGTGGAGCTATACTTAATCTCCCCACTAGTCTCAAGGTCTCAGTTCTTTCCTCAGGATGCCTGTCAAATCCATCCTACATATAGTCAGCACCTCTGTGCCTAGTATGACCACATCAAAAGTATTTCCAAGTCATCTTGTAACACTAGCCTAAGTGCTACAAATATATTAAATAGGTTCTCCACTAATAGAACTCATAAAATTTGCTACACTACCTCTTATAAATATAGATAGATAGACATGAACCTTTTCTAGAATCTCTAGGCTCTAATCTACTCTTATTTTATGCATAACCACTATCACAATCAAATCTGATATGACCCATAGAATGAACATGTCTTATCATGATAGTTTACAATAGGCCACAACCAAGATCAAAATTTTGGAAACTATTCATATTTTTTTTTCCAATTTAACTTAAAAATAAACAACAGACCATATAGCGGCTAATAATCCTATCCATTAACTCCTGAAGCTATACTTTTAACTCTAGAAGCTTTATAGGTGTCATTCTATATGGATCTTTGAATATGAGAGTTGTACTTAAAAGTACATCAATACAGAACTCAATGTTTCTATCTAGAGCCAAACCCACTATCTCCTAAAAAAAAATGAAGTCCTATAACATTTTGACATTAAAAAGAGAACCAAAATCTATACTCATATCCAGAACTGTAGATATAAATACCACAAAACTTTCTTTCATAACTTATCTACTTACATAACAAAAATCAAGCAAGACAAAACTCCTTTAACTTTTTAAAATAAACAACTTTCACAGCCCAAAAACAATGCGACTATCTTCTTTAAACAATCAATCCGAACATCAAACCAACTCAATTAGTCCATACCCAAAATAACTTCAAACTTATAGATGGGTATCAAAATTAGACTAGACCTCTACTTCCTAAAAGATATCTCCAAATCACAAAAGCAAATCCTACTGGTTATCATATAATCTCCACTTAGATAGAGAAAAGGGAAATAATTAAGAAGATAAGTGTAGTAAATTAAAGTAACATTAGGAAGTAAATGAATAATTGATCCCATAATCAACCAAAATGCAATGGGTTGATAAAAAATGTAATAGATACTTGTAACAACATCATGAGCATCTAAAACCTCATGTTGAGATAGAATTTATACATTTATCAGATTGAGTTGTGACATAATATATCATAGTTAAGAGTAATTTTGCTCGAGTCTAATAATTTAAACAATAATAGCGTAATTATAGAATCACATCAGATATTATATCAATCATGTGTCACAATACTAGTACTAAATGTACAAAAAAGAATCCTATTCAATATTCATGAACAAAATATATCAATATCCATATTTATTTTATTTGAGATCACATGTCAAAAGGCAATATATTCCACAAATTTATTAACTTCAAAATTACTTATAAAGCTTTTAAAACATAATAGATTTCTCAAACTTAGAAAACAGTTTGAAGTGATCATAGACATAAATGCTTAAATTGGTCATTTTTTATATCTAATTTTGAAAGATGAAGTAATTAATTTTGATGAAGTGACATATATATATTTTTAATTATTAGTACATGATATCAAATTTTTATAGGTATATTATTATTTTTTTATTGAAGACAACGCAAAAAGTTAAAACATAAAAAATTTTATTACTTAAATGTTATAAGGTACGATCGATTTCGGTATTCCTATCTCTAAATCTAATTTATCCCTCACTTCTTTTTCAGATGCCGATTGGGCCGGCGATCCAGTTTCAAGGAAATCAACATCGGGCTACTGTTCATTTCTAGGCGACACACTCATCTCCTGGACAGTCAAGAAGCAAACCACCGTAGCTCGATCCTCCACGGAGTCAGAGTATCGATCGCTTGCAGCTCTCACGGCAGACATTATTTGGCTCCGACGTCTATTACTTGATTTCGGCATAAATCAAGATAAACCCACCGCAATTTTTTGTGATAATACTTCTGCTATAGCACTGGCTAATAATCCAGTTTTTCACGCCAGAACGAAGCATATTGAAATAGACCACATATTTGTTAGAGATCACATTCACCAACAAAACATTCAGATCAAACCTATCAGTACTATTGATCAGATAGCAGACATCTTTACAAAGCCATTATCAACACCTAGGTTTCATCTACTTCGCACCAAACTGACTGTCAACCGTATACCTTCAGTTTGCGGGGGAGTATTAGAGAAATAAATATTTTCTGTACTTAGCTTTATCTGTGTCTCTTTATGTAGCCTTTTTCTAAGTCTTGTTAATAGCTATACCTATATATCTTAGTCTGTACTAGTCTGGAGTTAATGTGAAAATAACATTCTTTATGTTTTTCTGAAATGCTCTTCTCTCGATCCCTTTCCTTTTCTTCTTCTTGATTTCTCTGTCGTGAAATTCTTCAATCTAGCTAAGCTAAAGTAGCTCATATTGAGCTCGAGCTCTTTAAGGAGCTTAAACTCGACTCGCTATATAAAAATCAAGTTTAAGCTCAGCTCTTTATTGAGCTTGTTTAAAAAGCTCGAGTTCAGCTTGATTGAAAAGCTAGAACTCGTCTCATTTATGAAGCTCGAATTTTTGTTATATTAAAAATTTTAAAATCAAGTAGCTCGACGAGCTAATAAGTCGAGTCGGACTGAGCACAAACTCGAACCCGTTTCGATTACATGCTCTAGCTAAAACTCAAAGCTCAATAAACTCGACTCATAAACTTATTAGTGAGTCATGTTCAAACCGGCTCACCGCCGAGCTCACCCCTAAGGGAGATTATGAGATCAAATAAAAATATAAAGGTTTGTAAATATCATACTTTAAACACTCAATTTTTTTAATAATAATAATAATAATAATAAATCCTCCGTTCACGTCCATTCCAGTATCTCCTTTCCAATTGGAGCTCAGAAACTTCTCGCGCAGTTGACATCAACTGCATTGCCGGCCATGCAGCCAGACCCATCGAATCCCTCTCTTGTCTCATTTTACCCTCTCCTACTTCTCTGCTCTAAGAGGAGAATCGAGAGCGCGAGAGGAAGAGAGTTGAGAGAAACGCCAAGATGCAAAGCTACTGCCTTGTCACTGCTCTGCTCTTCATTCAACTACTGCCAACGCCGCTTGCCCTGTACCCCGAAGTAGATAATCTTTTCAAGGTGAAGGACGGTTTAGACGACCCAAATAACGTCCTTTCCAACTGGAAACTAAGCGATTCCACCCCCTGCAACTGGACTGGCATCACCTGCTCTCCCCCCGCCGGAGACGACGCCGGAAACCGTACCGTCACGTCAGTCATTCTCACCGGCTTCGACTTAGCTGGCCCCTTTCCCGTAGCTCTCTGCCTCCTCCAAAACCTCAGCTTTCTCTCGCTCTCATACAATTACATCAACTCCTCCCTCCCCGACTCTTCCCTCCTCAACTGCTCCTCCTCCCTTACCCACCTCGACCTCTCCCAAAACCTCCTCGTCGGCCCACTCCCGTCACTTTCTTCTTTCCGTCTTCTCCGCTACCTCGACTTCGCCGGAAACAACTTTTCAGGCGGCATTCCTCCCTCCTTCGCCCTCCTTCCATCTCTCGAAATCCTCTCATTGACTGCTAACCTGCTCAACGAAACCATTCCCCCTTTTCTTGGTGACATCTCCACTCTTCGCCAGCTCAATCTATCCTACAACCCGTTCTCCCCAGGCCGCATACCTTCCTCTCTCGCCAATCTTACCAATCTCGAAATCCTCTGGCTCGCCGGCTGCCGCCTTGTTGGTGAGATACCGCGGCCTCTTGGGCATCTCTCCAAGCTTACAAACCTCGATATTTCCGGGAACTCCCTCACCGGTGGCATCCCGGACACTCTTTCAGGCCTCTCCTCCGTAATTCAGATTGAGCTCTACAGCAACTCTCTCACGGGCACCTTCCCTGCCGGGCTCTCTAACTTAACAGCCCTCCGCCGTATTGACGCCGCGATGAACTCCCTCTCCGGACCGATTCCCGATGACGTATTCTCCATCCCAGAGCTTGAAAGCCTCCACCTTTACAAGAACCAGTTTAACGGTTCTCTTCCAACCACCGCTGCCATGGCTGGCAAACTCCTTGAGTTTCGCATTTTTTCGAACAATCTTTCTGGGCCCATCCCAGCGAATTTCGGCAAAAGCTCGCCTTTTATGTTCCTCGATCTATCCGGCAACCAGCTTACCGGCGAGATCCCGAAGGAGATATGCCAAGGCGGGGTTCTACAGGAGCTTCTTATCTTCGACAACTACCTCTCCGGCGGCTTGCCGCAAGGCCTCGGTCAATGCAAGACTCTCACCCGCATCCGCCTCGCCAATAACCAGCTTTCCGGTGAGGTCCCTGCCAGTATCTGGGGTCTTCCTCATATCTGGATTCTCGAACTCACTGACAACTCCCTATCCGGAAACATAGCATCCGGCGTCGCCGGCGCCACCAATCTCACCACTTTGCGGATCGCCGGAAACAAGTTTAGCGGGTATATTCCGGCTGAAATCGGGTCGCTCTCTAAGCTTTCCGTATTCTCGGCCTCCGATAACGAACTGACCGGCCCTTTACCGGAGTCACTTGGATTGCTTCCAGAACTCAAACAGCTGGACCTGCATAACAACTCATTCTCCGGCGTGTTGTTCAAAATTCAGTCTTGGAAGAATCTAACGCAGCTGAACCTTGCCGGCAATAATTTCTCCGGCGGGATTCCACAAGAACTTGGAAGCCTGTCACTACTGCACTACCTGGACCTCTCCAGAAACGCCTTCACCGGCGAGATCCCCATACAATTACAGAACTTGAAACTGATCAATTTCAATCTTTCCAATAACCTGCTCTCTGGTCCAATTCCACCATTGTTCCTCAACGAAGTCTACAAAACTAGCTTCCTTGGAAATCCTGGTTTATGCTGGGATCTCAATGGACTATGCTCTGCTGCCACTCATGCCCATAGGAAGTTCTTCTGGCTTCTTGGAGTTATCTTGTTAGCTGCCCTTGTTGGGATTTCATTGTTCTACTTGAGGAATATGAACAGTAGAAGAACAAAAAAGGGAATGGATAAGTCCTGGTTGATTCTCCCTTCTTTCCATAAATTTGGCTTCAGTGAATATGAGATACTGAATTCATTACACGAGGATAACATCATCGGCGGCTCCGCTGCCGGGAAGGTTTACAAGGTTGTGCTCCGCAACGGCGAGACTGTAGCAGTAAAGAAACTTTGTAAAGAAAAAGACTCGAAAAACGACGACAATAACCAGGAAGAAGCTCTGGGGATGATTCAACATAAAAATATTGTGAAGCAATGGTGCTGTTACAGTAACATGGAAAGGAACCTCCTGGTTTGCGAGTACATGGCAAACGGGAGCTTGGGAGATTTGCTACATAGAAGCAAGGAGAGGCTTTTGGATTGGCCTACAAGGTATAAAATAGCCTTGGATGCTTCGCAGGGATTGTGCTATCTGCACCATGACTGTGTTCCGCCAATTGTTCACAGAGATTTTAAATCAAATAACATCCTTTTAGATGCAGAATTTAGAGCTAAAATTGCAGATTTTGGGATTGGTAATGGCAAGGGGCCTAAATCAATGTCAGCCATTGCTAGCTCACGTGGATACATAGCTCCAGGTATGAAGCCTTTTCATTCAGGAATGTTCTTGTTTGTTCTGATGCGGTGCATCCAGCCGTTGGCGCCATTTACAGTATTATTTAAACTTAGTTTCGGAATGTTCTTGTTTGTTCTTTAGTTGATCTGAGTAATTTCTTCATGAAAACTTGTTAGTTTGTGTTATCCTGCACATCAAGTTAAGTCTGCAGGGATCTAGCCATATAGGACAAGTAGATGCTTGTTCCCTCTGTTTTTTAGCTAGACTAGAGCTGCTGTGTTTTGGTATAGTCACAATTAAATGCTTGCATTTGAAGGATTTCCTCCCACAAGGCACCAGCAGTGCCTATAATCTTTTAGAGCATCTCCAACGGAATGTCAAATATTCGTATTATCTCGTTCTGTTGCTCCAGCGGAACGTCAAATCTTCTGCTATTTGCTTGCGGATGAATAGTGCAACACCAATTGGCGTCGCAATGTTCATAAACACGATTTTTCTGTATCAACCGAATTTGCCGAAGAAACACGACAAAGAGGAGAAAGACGGTTACCTTCGCAGAAGCCAGCAAAATGGAGTTCGATTGGAGATGAATCACGACATCTTTGAGTTTCACTACATTTTTAAGTGAAAAATGGGATTTTCGGGCATCTCCAACTGAAAATCTCATTTTTCACTAAAAAATGCCGTGATTCATCTCCAATCGAACTCCATTTTGCCCCATTTTGCGAAGGTAACGGTCGTTCTCTTCTTTCGTGCGTTTATTCAGCAAGTTCAGTGGAGACAAAAAAATAGAAAAAATGAAAAGTGCAATGTCAATATTGGCGTCCCACTGTTCACCCGCAACCAAATAGCGAAAGTTTTACCGTTCGGCTGGAGCATGCGAGCGACGCCATTCAAGCGTTTAGAATTCGGTTGGAGCTGCGCTTAGGACCTTTATCCTGGCCAGCTAATTGCACTTATTTTAGTCGTCAAAGCTGCCCTTCCCTGTTCTTGCAAGCTTGTTGATGCCCACCAATCTTCCTTCTCTCTCCCTCCCTCCCTTCTTTCACATGTATCTGAGTAACAAAATTGTCACTAGACGCCCAAAGAAATTACAAGAACTTGTCGCATTGGTCCTGCTTGAAGAAATTCCCAAAAGCTTGCTGTCTTGGTCCTGAAAAAACATAATCAAATTAGTAAAAAAATTGATAATATAATAACATTAAAGGGGAAGTTTGTAAAGACTAAGGCTTCATTTGGGACGGCTTTTTTATTGCTTTCTAAAACGGAGTTTTAATACAAATTTTTTTATTTTTGTACTAAAACTCCGTTTTAGAAAGCAATGAAAAAGCGGTCCCAAACGAAGCCCGGCTTTCTTGTTGCTTCTTAAAGCAGCTTTTTAGTTCAATAATTAATTTTTTTTACTAGAAAGCTGCTTTAAGAAGCAACAAGAAAGCCGTCCCAAACGAAACCTAAATCTTATCACATCGTCTAACACTTTCCTTTTCCTTGACAAAAAAAGGAGAAAATGACAAAAAATCTTTCAAATTTGCATTTTAATTGTCGCATTGTTTGTTTGATTTTCCACATCTCAATCCAGTTATTTTATATCTCAGTCAAAAATTTTTATCTGTCATTTTCTGAAATTTTTTATTTGGCAAAAAAACTTAGATAAATTCCTATAATGCCAAATATCAGTTAAAAAGGAATTTGTCAAATGAACATTTACATGAAAATATAACTGTATTATAGAGGACAATTAAGGGTAAATTTGAGATGTCAATTGTTTAACAATTCATTTAGCTTAAAATAACAAATCAATGCTTTAATTTTTTAGAAAAATCTCAAAATAGTCCACAGACCATTCATGTATGGCCAATTAATCCCAGAGTTTCACGTTGCCATAATTTAGTCCTTCAACTATACAAAATTAGTCAAAAATAGGCTAAGGTTGATGAGGGGCTTTGCTCTTAGAGACATGATACAAAATGAGCATATACGTAAAAAGGTTGGAGTAGCTCTAGTGGAAGATAAGATTAGAGAGAGTTGCCTTAGATGTTTTGGTCACATAAAACAGCAGCCTTCCGATGACTGGCCGGTTAGGAAACTAGATATATTAGATTTGAATTATATTAAGGAATGTAGAGCTATACCTAAAAAGACTTGGTTAAAAATATTAGAAAATTTTTTTTTTATTAGAGTTAAATGAGAATTTGACTCTTAACCGGACACACTGAAGAAAAAGAATTCATATAGCAGACCCCACATAGTGGAATAAAGGCTTGTTGTTGTTGTTGCTGTTGTTGAGGAACAATTATTACGTCCTCCGACCGGACGCAGAGTAACGTCCGGTCGGAGGCAAATTCCCGTCAAATACCGAGTTGTATCGAGTAAATACCGAGTTGTATCGAATAATAACTAGGAATAACATCATGTGAAGATTCAATACCGAGTTTTTTCGAGCTATCTTGAGCAATACCGAGTTATACAAAAGTTGTACCGAGTTTTTCCTAGAAAAAACTCGGTACAACTCGGTATTTCTCGATATAGCTCGGTATAACTCGGTATTGGTCTTCAAAGAGCGGTATTCATCGTTATTATCAAATAATACCTAGTTGTACCAAGAAAATACCGAGTTTTTTGACGAAAATTTAGCTCCGACCGGACGTTCCTCTACGTCCTTGCACCGGATGTAATAAAAGTTTGTTGTTGAGAGATCAAATTAGAGCAAATTATAATGATGGACTAAAATGATAATATACAAATAGTTAGGGGGTAATTTTGAAATTTAACCTTTTTCTTATATTATAAAAAAGATATTTACAGACATACCATAATATTTTATATATTTACATAACGAATATTTAAATCTTTATATTTTATGATAAAAGTAAATGTAAAAATTTAGATGTTTGATATGTAAATATATAAGATTTTTGTGTCATTTGTGTAGAAAACATTATAAAGCCAATTGATTTGTTTATCTTGTTCATTTAACAGAGTATCCCTACACTCTTCGTTTGAATGAAAAGAGTGACATATATAGCTTCGGAGTTGTACTCCTGGAGCTGGTAACTGGCAAGCCTGCCGTGTATCCAGAACTAGGCAAGAAGGATTTAGTAAGGTGGGTTTTTCGCACAATTCAACAGAAAGAAGAGGAGAGCGTCATCGATTCAAAGCTTGATCTCTGCAACAAAATGGAGATCACCAAAGTCCTCCAAATTGGCCTTCTCTGCACCAGCTCTCTTCCCATCAACCGTCCCTCCATGAGAAGGGTAGTGAAGATGCTTCTTGATGTGCGCACAGAGAGCAAATCTTCTGGTCTTCTATCAAATCTGAGCAAACACTCTTCTTCTTACTTCGAAAACGATCAGGAGAGTTTTGCTTGATGATATAGCCGTTGTTCTTCTAAGAAATTGAAAGAAGTTCTTATTTTTCTGTCAAGCTGTAGGAGTTCAGTAGTTCTATATCGCTTTTACTATTCTCTTTCTTTTGAAAAGAAAATTATGGAGCTTCTTGAAAGGGGAAGTTGGTCTGTATTGTGTTATTGCATATTGGCAATTTAGAACTTTGTTTGCGTTATGGTATGTAATATAATTTTCTATGTGATTTCTTGTTTAGGCTTTAGAGTGAGCTTTTAGGTTCCCATTTCAAGGATTGATTTGAAGACAAGTTATTTGTGTGGATCATCTTCTTCATTCTAATCTGAGTTGTTGATTATTTACAGAAAAAATTTGTACACAAACTGCGTATGTAACCCTCGAACCCTATACTTCTTGGTTGGAAGATTAAGCTTTCAATTAACAGGCTGAGCTTAGTTGCAAACAGAAAAGCGGTACAACCCGGCAACATGGGATGTGATGAAAATATATGAAGACATGTTTTGTATTTACAAAAGAGAAACATGCATATACAAAAAATATAAGAGGATATATCTACACCAGAGTAAATAAAGGAAGTGAGCTAAAAGTCATTTTTTAATAAGATGCAAATAAATAATTCATTCAAATGACAATTGTTCTGATACAAGTTAATAGAAATGTAAAAGAACAAATAATAGGAAAAAAACTAATCAACTCCTATAATTAAAAGTATAATAAACTATTATAAAATGTAAAAGATCAAAAATAGACTACTACTAATAGCTCTACGTTTGAGCTGACGATCAATAAAACACGCATGCATGACTACTGTAAAAAGAGACAATGAGTGACAAGTAACTCCTATATATAAAATCATAAATGACAACGAAATGGGGCATGCAGTATGAATAAGCAAAAGGTAGAAGTAACAACATATAGTCAACAAAATAAAATAATACTTACAAATAAATGTCATATTTCCTATAACAGAAATCTAATATGTTAATGACATTAATGAATGTGTCAAACTACTATCAATGCTAATATAATATAATATATTATTATATATATATATATATATAATATTATATATATATATATTATATCCTTCATGAAAGCTAGAAATACCAACCTAAAGAAATCTAGTGATTTCCTATATAGTCATCACTCTAAGGGCCTGTTCGACCTTGGCTAGTAAAAATCATTTAGGTTCTATCAAAATATACATAATTTGCGGTGCAAGTACTATTATTAAATACTCAATAGGTGTTTATAATTAACATGATAATCACAATTTATATAAGCAATATGATTATAACATAAGTATCATATACTGCATTAAATAAATATTTATGAGTATGAATTAAATTTCTATATCTTGAACGCATTTTAAATGATAAAAGCTCTTGCAACAATTAATCAAAGTAATATTATTTCTGCTAGATGATGAATTCAATATAAGCCATAAATAAAATTCTTGCCATGCACAATACTAATAAATAAACATTAGAAATAAAGCTGGCAATCTAATATTCATAAACCTATCACAAGCAAGAAGGATAATGCCTCTAACAAAGAAATGGTATGTTTATTTCCAAAATAAATTACCAGTTCTTACTTTAGGATAGCAAAAAAAAAAAAAAAAAAAGATATTCAATCTGTCAATGCTAGGAGGACAATAACTCTGAAGTTCTTACAAACAAAATTCCTAATTTAATTCATGATAATGCTAAATGAATCAAATACTTGAAATATAATGCTTACATAACTCAAACGTAAATATAAACATTGAACATAAGAAAATCAAGCCAATAAGATAATATAGAGTTCGACCTATCAAACATCAACTTAAATAAAGCTTCTTGTTCCCAAAGCAAGATAAAACTCTCTCAACGCAAAATTTAAGACTATACAAAACTTGATACAAATAAAAGTTTAGCCTTCCCATAGAATTGAAATAATTAGAGACATAAGAAGAAGAAAGAGAAAAGGAGAGGGAAAACTCATTGTAGATGTACATGGGAGAGGAGTTTGAGAAGAGTTCACTGAGAGTTACTACTACGAGAAAGAAATGAAAGAGGAGAAACAAGAGTTTGACGGTTGCTGTAGTAGAGAAAAAAAGAGGGTTCATTGCCCTAGGTTCCCTATTTGGTTTAAAAAGGCCATAGGGTGATGCTGAGTGAGAAAAAGTAAACGAGGTGGGACAAATCATATAATTTTTATGACGATTGAGGAGAGAACATCACACATGAGAGAGACAAAATCTGACTCTTCGTTGCTCGCTCGTTTTGATCTCATACGAAGTTCAAGGTTGAGAAACCACATACAACCCACCCCTTAAAAAAAAAATTTGTTCCTAAATTCATACCTTAGTTCTGGAACAACTGCAAGTATTTCATGATCATCTCCTCTTCAATCTCACAAGTGGATTCTCATTCTGACTTATTCTTCTAAAGCACTTTAATAAAGGGAATAGATTGTCGATGAAGCTGTCAAACTTCACGTTCCAAAATGCACTCCGTTACCTCTTCATAGCTTGGATCTTCTTGAATCAGCATAGACTCGAATTGAATAATGTGAGAACTGTTGTGTACGTAGAGCAAGTGAAGGGAGACATAAAAGACAATATACACTCTTGCAAGGCTCAGAGGAAGAGCTAATATATAAAAAACTCTGTCGACTCTCTCAATCATCTCAAAAGGTCCAAAGAAATGGGACTGAAGTTTTCCACTTTCGCCAAATTTAGTAACTCCATGTATGGGCAAAACCTTGAGAATGACGTGATCTCCAATCTCATATTCAAGATTTTTATGCCTAGGGTTAAAATATCATCAATGAATACTAACATAATCGATCTAAACACGACTTGAAAACTCTGTTCATCAAGTCCATAAAAGTAGCATGGGCTTTAATTAACCCGAAAGGCATGACTAAAAACTCATAGTAACCATATTAAGATTAAAAAGTAATCTTCGAGACATATCTTCATTTTTTATCTTCAGCTAGTGGAATCTCAAATGAAGGTTAGTCTTGGAAAATACATAAGATTCTTGTAACCGGTCAAATAGATTATCAATGTGAGATTAATGATACTTGTTCTTCATGGTGACCTTATTTAGCTCTCTATAGTTGATGCAAAGTTTCGTACTTCCATCTTTTTTCTTCACAAATAAGATTGGTGCTCTACAAGGTGAAATGATAGGTCTGATAAATCCCTTATGAAGCAATTCTTGTAGTTGCACTTTGAATTCTTGAGCTCGATTGGTTCTATATGATACAGTGCTTTTGAAATTGGAGTAGTACCTAGAACTAGCCCTATAGTGAACTTATCTCATGATTAGGGGGTAAGCTAGGCAAATCATCAGGAAAAACATCTATAAACTTTTGAACTATCAAAGCACTGTCTAATCTAATGCTTGGTTTGTTAGTATCCACCACATGAGCAAGATACCCAACATACCCATGATAAATCATCTTACATGTTTTAATTGCTAATATAAAATAAGGAAAGAATCCTCTTCCACTATTAAAGCTAAAGCTAATGCACTGGGTATATGAAAGTTTACCCTTATCTTATGATGATCAATTATAGGGTGATACTTAGATAGCCAGTTTATTCCCTATATTGAATCAAATTCAACTAATAAAAATATAATGAGTAGTGCATGCATATGCATACTATTAATTATAAGGCCACAATCATGAACACATTGAGTAACTACCATAGATGCTCCATATAACATATTAGTTGAAAAATGAGGATACAATTTAGACACTGATGCATTTGATGTAAAATTATTTGATATGAATGAATGTGATGCCCAAAATCAAATAAAACATTTGCTAGTTGCTTGTTAATAGAAATAATATATACCACCACATTAGGAGCTTCAAAGGCCTATTATTGAGTCATGGTGAAGACACGAGGAGGGATTGCCTGCCTAGGCTACTCCTGTACTAGAGGTCGCGGTGTTAGATACTAAATTGCATGTTTATGCTTATATAACATCAGATGTTATTGATGTTGGTACTGGGAAACATGGCATTACATAGAGCTAAGATGTATGAACTTATTGAGATTATTGTTGAGGTTGAAAATAATTATATTTTCCATTTCCTTTCCCATTGTACTTGTGGTAGTGTCCTCTCTATAGTTTCTGCCATTCATTTGAGTGTGAATGCTTATAGTTGTCATGAGTAATTGAAGGATTGGATTTATCTAGAGTTTTGAGCAGGCAATCCTTAACTTTATGTTCGATGTTGTAGTAGTTGAAGAACTTCTTGATGACCAAGTTGCAAGTCCCTGAATTATATTTTTTATAGTGCACACAATGAGGATTTCTTTTTGAATTTTTCTCCTGATGGCTCTTATGTTGATTCCTCTGTGAATCTCCTAGTTTTTTATTATTTATTGCCTTTTGGTTTCTAGTAGTTTTTCTTAAGATTTCACTATATAAAATAAAAGTTATGCTATTTTATTTAATTGGCTTAGAATAGAATTTTAATATATGTTAAAAACCTATTGCTAATTCAAGTATCGAGAATGAACAGTCTGATTATGTAATAGATGGTCATTATTATTTTTATAAATGTGTGTATCTTTTTGTGTAACAAAGATTTGTTGACTTGTTGGTTGAAGATTGATAGACTTGTACAGGATGGTGGCTCGACAAGTTTTTTTCCTTAAATATAATTGTTTGTGTTATCCTCTAGTCATTTATGTGATACAATGATACAATAACTTGGAGTTACAAGAAGTTATTACTATACAGACAGACAAAGAATTACGACTCTGCTTACTGAGCCAACGGTTGCCGACTATTCTATGCGTACTGAAATACATGTTATAATTTCATTATTTCTTTTTAACCTAATAGTTACTATATTGATTCACTGCTATCATCATATTGTTATACTATTCTACTGATTACTATTCTACTTCAACGGTACTGTTTATTATTACTCCTACCAGTTTACAGATATTGATATTATTATTGCTACTGATTTACTGCATATTGTTATTATTGATTCACTTTTATTGATCTAATAAGCACCTAATTCCTATACCAAGTAAGTGGTTTTAACTAGGTGAAAAAAGATACTAATCGAATACTGATATGAAATGATTGATCTTTATGTGTATAATAATTTGATTATATTGCACAATCATAGGTTCTAATAGCTTTTTAGATATTATGATTATAAATTTATGTTTTACACTATTTCCCCATTGCTTATTTGATTCGATCTCCATATTGAGCCATTGATTTATTGGCTTATTGATTTACTAGTTCACTGGTATCAATTCTACTTATTTTTGTATTATATTGTTCTATTGTTTATAGATTTAAATATTTCTGCACTACATAGATTTAAAATAATAATATTTGATATTGTTATGAATTGACTGATAACATGTATA